GTGGGGTAAATTCAGCGCACAATTGGGCAGAGATTTTAGTGCTACATCATGACTTCTAGTGCAGACTTATTTTCCATAAGCTGGCTGGTCTGAATTAATTAACCAATGAGCATTTATTAAGTGCCAAGCACTAGGAGTACAAAGACAGATGTGAAGCTGTACCTGCCCTCAAGGAGCTTACATGCTATCATATCACAACTCTGTGTCTAAGTCAAATGCCCCAGCCTGTCAGAATTCATTAGTTATTTGTGACCATAATCTTTTCAAAAGGCCAATTCCAATAGCTTACAATGGTTTGGAGATGACTCTGGATTCTCATTTCTGACACAGCATAAGCCCCAGCAGGTCCCACTATTAAGAAAGGCATCAGTTACAACCCAGTAACAGCTGGTATTTCTGGTGTCCAAGGATGAGCCCCTAGAAGTGTAGAAAGCATCATCACCAGAAGGTGGACCACCAAGGGATGAACTTTTTTGGCCACAGCAACTCATGAGGATTATCTACTAAGACATTTTCTATCAATGGAGGAATTGCCCACACCAGTGAAATCACTGATCACTTGAAGTATTAAGAGATAATGCTGCCTTTTTCATGTCTACACAAGTCACATTTTCCAAGAAGTTATATTTTGGTTCTCAAATCTCTTCCTTCTCTTAAGCTACCTCGGAGATTGTGTTTTACTTATAGTTCCACATATTGTCGGAGACAGAAGTTACCCTAAGTCTTTCTGACTAGGGTTCTCCATTCAGTATGCCTGTTGTGACAGACAGATCAATAAAAGTTTGAAAGTCTTTCCCTTCAAAAGGACCCATATGGTAAAAAAATATTTATAGTGGCAAAAAACTGGAAACTAAGGGGATGCCCATTAAATTGGGAATGGCTGAACAAATTGTGAATGTATTAGAATAGTATTATGCCCCAAGAAATGATGAAAGTGAGTTTCAGAGAAAGCTGGAAATACTCCTATGAACTTACAGGGTAAAATGAGCAGAAGCAATAGAAAAACGTACAATAATATCAACAGTGCAAAGACAAGCAACTTTGAACGACTTGATTCCAGCAGACTGATGACAAAGCATGCTGCCTACCTCCTAATAGAGACGTAAGGAACGTGGGCTGTAGAATGAGCCACGTGTGTTTGGACATGGCCCATGGAGGAATCTGTCTACTTGATTTTGCTTATTTGTTACAAGACTTGTCTTTAAAAAAAACAAAGGATAGGGTGGTAGGAGGGAGGGGAAATAAATGCTTGACAATGAAAAAAATTAAATTTAAAAAAATCTTTCCCTTCCTTTTGCATTTGAATAAAAAGCTTTTGTTTGTGTTTATGTTGCTTCTAAATTACATTGTAAGCTCATTATGGACAGGAACCACATCACTGGTTAGGAATGCTTAATAAATTCATTGACATCTTCATAAAGATGCATTTGGGAATCATGCCAGAGAACTGTGTTACAGATTAAATTCTTATGAGGAAAGCAGGCCAACCTTCTACCAAATCCTACACCACAGTAAATACTGTTGTAACGAGACTCCAGTTTCCAGAAGGGACATTGATGATCTGGAGAGTGTCCAGAGGAGGGCAGCCAGGATAGTGAAGGTTCAGATGAAGATTGGCAGAAGGAACTGTGTATGTTTAGCCTGGACCAGAGTAGGTTCAGGGCATGACTTGATAACTTTCTTCAAGTGTTTGAAGGATTATTATGTAAGAGAGGAATTGGATTTTTCTGCTTGACCCCAGAGGGCAGAACCAAGAGAACTGGGTGGAAATTGCAAACAGACATATTTAGGCTTGATTGGCACAGTAGATGGAGGGAAGAGCCTAGAATCAGGAAAATCCAGCCTCAGACTCTTATTAGCAGTGTGACCCTGGGCAGGTCACTTAACCCAGTTTGCCTCAGTTTCCTCATCTGGAAAATGAGCTGGAGAAGGAAATGGCAAACCACTCCAGTGTCTTTGCCAAGAAAACCCTAAAAGGGGTCACAAAGAGTTGGACACACTGAAATGACTGAACAAAAAAGAAAAACTTCCTAACAATTATAGCTATTTAAAAGGAGAGTGGGTTGCTTGCAGAAATAGTGGGTTCCCCTTCACTGGAGGGCTTAAGAAAAGGCCAGACAGCCATTTATAGGATGTTGTAGACAGGGATGTTTTTCAGGGGTATAATGGACTAGATTAACACTAAGGTGCCTTCCAATTCTAAAATTCTGCACTCGTATCAGAGTATTTGGCTTGAGGAAGAAGTGACATTTAGCTAGAAGAGAAAATGGGGGGGGGAATGAGTAGGAAAAGAGACACAATAGCTATCTTCAAATATTTAAAATCTTGTGATAAAGAGCATACTTTGTTGTTCCAAAGGTAAAATAGATGAATAAATGTTACAGGGAGAAAAATTTTGTCTCACACAAAATTTAGGCCACACCCAAGGACCTAGAAGGCCACATGTGGTCTCCAGGCTGCAGGTTCCACACTCCTGGTTAAGTAGAAGCTGGAAGCTCATCTATCTGGGATATTGTAGAAAGTGTTTGGGCAGTGGATCAGGAAGCTTAAATAGATGATTTCTAACTTCCCTTACAACTCTGACAGTTACAGGATTCTGCAACTCACAAAATGTGTTGAGGTTGTATTAGGCTGCATGACACAGCTGGCTTCCTAAGCCAGCTTGTTTACTGATACATAACGTAAGGAAAATCAGGAGTCTTGTGAGGACCAAATGAAATTAAGTAGGTAAAACAATATTGTAAACTGTGAAGTGCCATACATATATAAGGTATTACTATTGCTGTAATGGGCTCTGAATAAACTCATTTATAGGTATATGAGATAATAAATCATAAATGTATAGCACTTTAAAATTTGCAAAACATTTCCTTCACAATAACCCTCTTAAGGCAGTGCAAGAATTATGTTCCCCATTTTGCAGCTGATAAAACTGAGGCTCTAAAAAATTCAGTGTCTTGCCCAAATCACACTGCTGATGAATGTCTGAGGTAGAATTCAACCCTAAGTCCTAACTCCAAGTTAATTGTTCTGTTTAATACATCTTGCAGCTTCCTGAGTTAAGATACTTCTTGAATGATTTTCACCTGCTACAGTTGATATTTCCAGACCAAGTTTTGAAATACCCTAAATTTTATAGAATTATGGATTTTAGTCCTGGAAGGTACCATAGGGGTCACCCAGCTGTCCCTGATTTTACAGATGAAGAAAATGAGGCTTAAAGAGGCTAAGTAAATGTGTAGAGAGTATCAAATTCATTGCTTTTAAATGTAGTCTTTTCTATTTTAAATGTTCTATTGGCAAATTAAAGCCACTCTGAGGTTCTTCCTTATACCCATCAGATTGGCCAAGTTGACAGAAAAAGGAAAATAACAACGTTGGAGGGGCTATGGGAAACCAGGCACATTAATTCACGGTTGCTTCGGATTGGTCTTTGATACCACCCCTCCCAAGAGATCAGAGATCAGATATTTATAGCAGCTCTTTTAGTAGTATCAAAGGAAGAAAAAAACAGGAAAGATCAAACGGAGAATGGCTAAACAAATTTTGGTATATGAATGCAATGGGATACTATTGTGCCCTAAGAAAGGATGAAAACAACAATTTTAGAGAAAGCTGGGAAGACTCCTGTGAACTGATAAAGAGTGAACCTGGAGAACAACTTGTATGATAGCAACTTTGAAAGTCTTAAGAATTCTAATTAATTCGATGACTAGCCACGATTCCAGAGGACCAATGAAGAAATGAGAAAGAGGTGATGGACTCCCGGTGCAAAATGAAACTCTTTTTTTTGACAGACCAGTGATGGAATTTGTTTTCCTTGCTTGACTGGGCAAATTTGTCAAAAAAGGATTTTGTTTCTCTTTTTCGGTAGAAAGGAGGTAGGAGGGAGAGATTTTTTTTTCTAAATGTTTTGTCGACAAAGTATTCCTATTTTTCTTTTAAAAATGGACAAACCTAAACATTGCTGGGTTATTTTGTTCTATTCACACCTGCAGTTGAGAAAGGGCTTCTCTTTCTTCTATTTCTTCACTAGGTGCCACTCTTGATTAAAAGCTATACAAGAATAGTATGAATACATTGTTATCCTACGATATTATTTCGCTTTTGTAATTGGACCCAAGAGTCCAAAAGAGATTTTAATTGATTTTGACCTTAAAGTTATTATGCAGTTTTCTGCTTGCCAAAAATCTCATCCTTCAAGGCCTTGCTCAGTTGCCAGCTGTCCATGAAGCCATCCCTCATCCCCCCAATAGAAGTCATCTTCTTCTGTACATTCCTAACATTGTTTTCCCATACCTCTCCTTGCACATTCTGCCATATATTGTTTTTTGCGTAACTCTTTATCTCTCCTGACAGATTGGAATCTCCTTGTGGTCACCACCCAACTTTTAGTTATCTTTGCAGAATATTAACAACAGCACTCACACTTACTAGGTCCTCTGTGAATAATTAATCAATAATAATTATTAATAATTAATAAACGCTTGCTCCGAAAGCCAAACAAAACTAACTTTCTTTAGTGAATGGATGTTACCATATATGGTTTGTTGGGAACTGATGGTGAGATAAATACCTTATTCTGCGGAGATGGAAGACCCTGAGTGTTTAGCAGAGGCCCACCCACTCTGCTTTGGGAAGGGAGGGTGGGGATGGAAGGAAGTCCAATTCTAGGCATCCCCCCCCACACACACCGCTTAGCCAATACTGGGGGTGGCTTCTGTGCTCCTCCATCCTCACTTAGCACAAGCCAGAGCGCAGCCGACCTCCAGGCACTGAAGGCCAGGTGAATTACCCACGGGTAAGCGCACGGGATGCCCAGGCTGGGGGCACATGGACGCGCAGGGCCGCGCCGACATGTCGCTCGCACCCGGGAGGCGCGCGCCCGCCGTGGTGGGGCCCTGAAAAGGCAGCGGGCGGGGTTGGGGGCGTTGCGTCAGACGGGCTGAGCCTCTGCCAGCTGGAGGGGGGCGTGCCCTGCTCTTTGCGGGGCTGGCCGGCGAGCGGGGAGGCTTGACTGCACCGGGACCTGGCTCCACTCTACGCGTCCCTGCTAACCGTGCGAGATGCTGTGGCGAAGCGGCCAGCTGCTAAGGCGATTCTCCACCGCCCGGGTGAGTGGGGACAGAGCGTGCTGCCAACTTGGCCTGCGGGCTCCGTCCCGGCCGCGGCGAGGGGCACCCCTGAGGTCGTGCAAAAAGTGGGAAGAAGCGTTGTGTAGGAAGGGAGACCTGCTGGCTGGGAGAGGAGCGAAGCGTTGGGTGGATATGAGTAGCCTGCGAGAGGGTAGGTATCCTTTGTCTCCTAATAGGAGGGAGAGGGAGCATCGGACGAGAGCGCAGAGCATCTCGAGGCAGGTTTGCGTGGCTGTGGGTAGGAGCTGCGGGGCCCATCGCCAAGGGACCAGCTGCTGCCTTTAGCCCTTTTGTTGTAAGGATTAAAAGCTCGGACGGGGTGATGAATGAATGGACGGTGCAGGGACATCGGCTTGTTCTCTCTGGGTCTCAGTTCACTCACTAGTAAACATCAGGGAAGGTGGGGTGTGGATCTAACCTCTGAGATCCCTTCCTGCTCTATGCCTATGGTGCTTCTCCCGGGTACTGGCAACAGAGAGATTTAGCTGCAGGAGGCTTGGAAGATATAAATGCCCCCGAAGTCCGTGTAATGCCTCGCAGAGGCTGGCCCGATTTAGCAGCTAGCTTGCGATGGCTGAAAATTCTAGAGCTGCTTTTGCTACAGCCGGCACTTGGGGTTCCAGGATTATCCCAGGCTGAAGACTTGGCCACGCTGAAGCACTATTATACAGTAAGAGGTACAGTAAAAGCAGCTGTCGTTTAGCGCCTTGGAATTGCATCAGCTGCCTACAAGTCGAGTGAGTGGGAGGACACGTTGCACAGGAATTTATCCTCAGTATTTTCTGGGTTGAGGAGCTAGAGTTGTCTTTCTAAGTAAGGCTCCCTGCCTGGGACGGAATGCTTCCTAGAGAAAGAGAAATGCCCAGAGGCATGACTCCCTATACGGGGAGATAATTATATGCATTCTGTAAAGTAATTGCTCCTTGGTTTCCTTTGCCGAGTAGTCCTCGGTAACAGTGTGTACATAGTGCTAGAGGAGGAAAAGGCCTCAACAATCAAGAACAGGAATGATGGAGTATGTCTGTAAAAATGTTTTCCCAGAACTCTAATTACTCACGCGACTATGGTGTTCACTTTAGATGATGCTTCTTCTATCTCCTTATTATGGGAGTTTATTTTTTCCAAATTCAGTGAAATAATCTCACTTGAAGTAGGCAAGGTAGGTACCCTCTGGAAGACACAGTATGCAGAGGAGTAATGTGAGGGACACTCCTTAATGTTGCCACAAATTTGCATTTTGTACCAGAAAATTCCACTTACCGTGGTGCCTGTGTGAAGTTCTGAACCTTCAACATGGCCAGTGTGACTTTATATATATGTGTGTGTGTGTGTGTGTGTGTGTGTGTGTGTGTGTGTGTGTGTGTGTGTGTGTGTGTGCATATGCAAATTAACATGCACATATAAACAGAGTATATTACGTACATACATACACATAATTTGAGTCACAGTTGTCAGTCGAAGGCTCAGAACTTTCAGGGAAGGTAACACAGTAGAACAGGAAGAGACTGAAAAAACTAATCCACATCAGTATTGACCTCTCTCTCAGTAGAACCAGGAGACATAAAAAAGGTGAAGGATGCAGTTGAGCAAGTGAAAAATATGGATTTCACAGAGAGCCCAAGGGCTCCACTCTTTTCCTAGAAATGTTCAAGCCCCGACCCAGTGCGATGTATTGGATAGATTGGGGGAGAATGTGAACCGTAATTATAAAGGATGAGAAGAGGTGGTTAGGTCAGTAGGAAGAGTGCCTACATTGATGAGAACCAGAAGTCCATTAAGGTTAAAGATTCTAGCCCAGCTTTTTCAGAGCACTGAATAACTGATTTCCATTAACATTACAAATGACTTTTACCTCCCCAATTGCTTTAACTCATTACATACAGCTATTTGAATTCTAATCTGCTACTGCTTGCTAGGTATCTGCCAGATGCTGAACACAGATTCTTAATTCCAAACCAATACTTTACTTCTCATCATTCTTATACCCAACAACCTACCATGTTGCCCAATGGTTTCATGTTGCACGCAGCATAAATGCTAAGTTTGGTTTGTCATTAAAGGCCTTCCATTGTCATAAGGTTTTGTGTTCTACTTCTCTTTCCTTTGCCCACATCATTCTCCCTATCTAAAATGTCCTGTCTGCCTTTCTCCAGCTGAGGAAATCCTGTCCAACTTCAACTAGATTGGTGCTACCTATTTATTTTGAGGAAAGAGAGAAGACTAAGTTTGTGGGGAGATAGTTGGTACTTCCATATATCCATGTAACTGTGTGTGCTTTTTAAGTTTTAAAAGCTTGTTTTCAGGTGTGGGGGAAGGGGAGTACACCAAGGGTAAATGACTCTTCACTGTGAGTTAGGAAGGGGATTGAATGCTCAGGGTTTCCTTAAGCTAGAAACCACACTCTCAGTTAAAAAAAAAAATAGAGTTTTTAATAGATCCACCCTTCACTAAATCCTGTATCTTGTCTGTGACTCACAGATTGTTGGTTCCAGTCCTAAGAAATCCATTGTTAATACCTGTTTTATATGCGGAAGAGCATGTTTACACAAGTTTGTCATTCTTTGAAGAGGCCTCGAATCTTGGTTGAAATATGTCTTTCTTGCATAAGTTCACAAAATAAAAACTATGGAAAAAAACATGATTTCTTACCGTTGATGATTAGTATAAAGTTAGCTTAAGTAGAACAATATGTTTTAGTACTCCAGCCTGTACACTAATGCACCTATTGTAGTTGAATTATTTTCAATTTCTTCCTGCTGTTGGGGATTTGGTGCTGAAAATGGCTTGGCTTTTCCTGACAAGTATTGTTGTAGGTATGGGCAGGAAAATGGTTCAAATGGGCCAAGATCAAGAACCAGGAATCCAACTGTTGGAATAAAGAATCACTATTTGACAAAAACTGCTAGCAGAAATTAGGGTTAGATTTCACACCATGACCTAGGTTGGCTAGGATTCTATCGCCATGACTCCTTATGGAACCTAAGTAGGGGCAGACACCATTTCTTTCTGCAAGGCATTTCCTTGGGACCCTGCCTTGGTGGTGCACCATTGAAGAAAGGCCTTCAGCAACTCTGGGGCTTAAAAATGGTAAAGATGGTTCCTTTATTTGGACCTGTATCCTTCTTACCTCAACAAATACTATGGGTGACCCCCTGTATCTATGGGAATCTAAATTTCTTTCACTAAGAATTCCTCTTGCACTCCTACCAGTAATGCCTGTGGGCATTAGTCTCTGCTGACTCCGGTTCCTTCAAATAACCTCTGCCCCTATTGTGGTGCTATGAGGAGTAAGGGAAGGGAAGAATTATGGGTGAAAAGCAGTTTGAATGGAAGGGGATGAGTAGGGTAGAGGAATGGATTATACAGTTACAGATCTTTGCAGTGGGCAGAAGGGTAAGTCAGTAATCCTGGGGATAGGAGGTATAACAACTGAGATATTTGAAGATACTGCTGGTTCTTGACTGTTTTCTGTAGGATCAGAGGAGATAGGAGGAGAGATGAGCCCTAAGCTGTCTGTAAACAGAGTAGAACAAAGCTATTTTACAAATTGAATACTGGTATCTGTTAAGAGGTAGGCTAGAAAGACCCAGAAGGTATGTCCTTTCCTTGAGGAGTAACCAAGCTATCTGGAGTCCCACGATAGAGCTAATGAAGGGATAACATAAGCCATTTTCTGGAGGGTGACACCACCACCAATGTGGAGGCCACAGCTCCACAATGAAATCCATTGTTAGTGCTGCTCTCTGTTGCACAATCCAACAAGGTTAGCCTGATGCAATTGGTACAACAGATCAGGATAAATGGCAGGACACCAGTCCTGTGCCAGCACTGAGGACCCCCCCCCCACCGAGGGCAGACCTGTCTCTTGCCACTCTCTCTTCATGAAAAACACAGCAGGGGAGGCAAAGTGATACATGAGCCTCTTCTGCACCTTGTTCTGCAGGAGGACCTTGAGTACTTCTTTCTTGGACCTAGTCAAGGAATAAAATGCATTTAAAGAGAAGCATGAGGATCACAGATTTTAGAGCTGGTGGAGAGGATCTCAGATGTCTTTGAATCTAACCCCCTCATTCTGCAGATAAGGAAACTGAGCCCAGAGAGGTTAAGGGACTTACCCCAGGATCACACAGCTGGTAAGGGTCTGAGGGGGAATTCCAGTCCAGATCTTCCAAGTCTGACACTCTAGCCACTATTCCTTGCTGCCTCCCAAGTGACTTTCTCAAGGTAACACAGTTAGTAAGTAGCAAAGTCAGAATTTAAACACAGGTCCTCTGGCCTCAAATTCAGCACTATTTCTAATGTACCATGGGGATCCTTGGCCAAAGTTAAACACGCAGTCCCAGTTTCCATGAAGGAACGGTACTTTTGCTTCAATGGCACTGAAAACAAACTGGCATTTTTACTGGGGTAGCATTATTATTTTACTGTTATGTCTGGGGTTCCCAAATTGATAGGACAGAGTCTCATACAATTGCTGTTAGTGATGTAGACCCAGGCTATCTCAGGCTGTATCAGATTGACTTAATACTGAAAAATGCCCCCAGCTAGTATGGAGGTACCAAGCATAGCCATACAAAACACCTGGGAAAAGAGAAACCAATGCCCAGGCAACTCCCCATGCTGCCTTAGGAGAGGTACCAGGAAAGAGGCACTACCCACCTAGGAAATGTGCCTACCTGGGAAATTCTCCTGGGGAGCCCCACAGTAACCATACCTTTCCAAAACTCACTTTGATTTGAGTTACCTTACAAAGGCTGTCTCCATGACCACAAGCTTCTTCAATGATGGTCAGGTTCAGTAACCACCAAGGGAAATCCATTCTTCTCACACCTCAAATTCTTCACGGGCAGCCACTGTATTCTTATAGTGATGGTTCTGAAAGTGACCAGAAGACAGCTCAGCTTTACATTTCTCAGCGCTGTTCCTTACAAGTGCCAACACTGCTCATACTGCTCTATTGCCTCATCCAGGATGGCAAC